AATACAGCACCTCAGACTGAAGAAGTCTTTCGGATGAAAGAAGAAACATTTCTACATTTTTGTTTTTGTTTGTTTGTTTGTTTTTTGAACGTCCAGAGGACCAGACTTAACTTTTTTAGATTTTTCTACCTGGATTATTGAGCATGCATCAGGATATCTATATTTAAAATTCTATATTTTTCTTCATCGTTTGATGTATTTGCGCTCATTGTGGTTTTGTTTCTTGTATACAGATTATTTTTTCTTGTATACAGATTATTTTTAGCTTTGAATTAAAGTTTAGCTTTGATTTAAAGCTTTAATTTAAAGTGTAATGCTTGTTTTGTGATTTGTACATCTGTGGGTTAGAATAATGTTGAACCAAAGGCTGTGTCTCTTCTTTAAACATGTTGGAGGGAAATATTCCTGAGAGATCCAATAATTTTGTGTCTTTTTATGATTTTTCAGTTGAATTAACTTTAATTAACTGATTATTTAATAAAATCAAAGGGAAAACAGGATTTCATGATAAAGCCGGCACCGTTTATTTATTTTTAATCTTCACTGATAAAAATCTTATTTTTTATACATAAAATGTTTTAAAAAAAAAACGTTTCCACCCTCCGTCCCTCCATCCCGGTGATCCCGCCTGCCAGGACTCGAATCCGGCCTTTGTGAGCAGGCGAGGCCGGTGCTCGGGGTTCGGCCTCGTGGGCTTCAATGGCTCGGCAGCTCGTATGATTCTCCGCGGTGACACCGCTCGCTTGAATTTTATCGTCGGTCAACAAACACAAAAAACGCCTGGACTTTAGAATTAAACATGGCGTTGTCATTATTGTTTTTAAAATCTTAAAAATAGTTCCAGCCGCTGCTCCGCATCCAGCGAAATTGCAAATGGCGGCTCAGTGAAAAGTTTCTGAGATCCAGTGACTCCTCCCCCTGACCAATCAGAGTTCTGCATTCACGTTTTCGTCCGGACTCAGCTTGACTGAGCTCGCTCGGTCCCACCAGAGAAGCAGGAACGAAAAGAGGTCCTGAATCAGCCTCAAATCAGCTAAATATACTAGCTAAAGTGCTGGTGCAAAAGGGTTCTTTCTGTGTCGGGCTGCCCAGAATTAGGGCTGATTAGGGGCGGTGCAAAAGGGGCATAAGTTAAGTTGTAAGCTGCAGCTCCGACTGTGTTTTCAGCCTCCTTCCCTGAAACAAACCACGGGTCAAAACTCATTTAGCCACACTGTGCCTGATGAGAGGAACAGTGAGAGGTAGCGCCACATTAATAAAGCAGCAGCTTATCATATCAAAGACACGGCGCTTAGCGGCTAACTAAAATTAGCGGTCTTGTTAGCGGCTAACTAAAATTAGCGGTCTTGTTAGCAGCTAAGGACCGTGTCTTTAGCGATATAATAAGCCACTGCTTATGATGACCCCCCCCCCCCCCCACACACACACACACACACCAAGATAATCAGTTCATTGGCACATTTATAAACTGGGTTTAGAGTATGCCTTATGATGCAATCATGGGCTTCTTTAGAAATCATTGAAAAACTAACGACTCCTGACTGCATTACTGTACTTCTGTACTTTATATTTTTTATCGTCACGCATTTGTAAAAAATCAATCGACTTTAAGAAGTTTTTTTTAAACATTTTTTTTCTCTCAGATGATGCAATTTCTAGCCTAAACACGAACTGAATAGGTTTATTGAGATGAAAACCGAGATATTCAGTGTCACTCACGGTGACTAGCAATTTTCTTGCATTAAAATAATTCAATATTTATTTTATTATAAGTGCTTGTTTAAAATATTGACATACGCATACTGATTATTGAAAAGCATTAAAAAAAAACTGTAGCGTCAGTATAACGTTACAGAAAATTGTAATCTGTTGTGTTTCCGAGTGTGTTGAGTATTTGTCCATATACTAACTAGCGTCTTTAGTTATGAGTTGTGTTACAACAGAAGAGTAAATTACCCCGAACAGCAGAGCATTCAAGGATTTCCTCCTTGTAGGATTAGTATTCTCTACCTCTGTGTGAGAGTGTATGTGTGTTAGTGTGTCTGTTGTGTTTGTAGGTGTAGTTAAATCTGTGTGCTTGTCAGCACACATGTACTGTATGTTGGAGTTAGACTACAGAACAAAGTATGACATTGATTCGTAAGCTGCTTTGTTGATGCATAATTCACCTCTGTCTACAGACAGAACACTTTTGAAGTGATCTTTGGTTGTTTAACTGCAGCTGAAAAAAATTATGCAAAGTTTCAATCAAATTTCTTTATTTTTACATTTTATTTTTTCTGTAAAGGAATATTTTGACAAGTGTCAGAAGTCGTTAGTGGTTCTTTTAATGGTTTCAAACCAGACCAATGATAGCACTTTTGTATTTTTCTCATTTTGATTGTAATTGAAGTTTCCTTAGCCATAATTAATAACTTCTAATTAAAGAATATTTCATTTATTTGATAAAACAAATGCTTTCTGTGTCGTGTTTCTATTACTGTATGAAACTCAAACTATAAATCTGCACTGTAATGAAGGCAGCTTTGTTTAACGTGTTGCTGGTTGACATATTTTGTTATTAACTTTTTGATACTTTTACTAGACATTACTAGAAGAAAAACGACAACAACAACCAACTGACACAGTGTTGTTATAACTTCTACAACTCTGTCTTTGTGATTCTACTCTTTGCTTCTTAATCCCAAAAAACAAAAATGGTCTAAAAACAAACTCGAGGAGTTTATGAAATGTTTCAGATGATGCCCAAAAGATGTGATTTTGTTTAAGGAAACCAGTTATTTTTAGATCACAAAGAGAAATTCAAAATTGAAGCAGTATTAACACAATACACCTTTACACGTTAATATAATGCTTTAACTGTTAGACTTTACTTCAGTTGCTTTTTATGTGTCCCATCCCAATATATACTGCTATAAAAGGGGTAAATGTTAGTGGTGTCCCTATAATTATTTTTTTCTGACCAAGTACAAGTACTTCAGTTTGGGTACTTGATGCAGATACTGAGTACTGATACAGAGAAGTTAATGACTTAGTACTTAAACATCTTGTAATGACTTTAGAAACACATTTCTTTTATTAAGAACACAGCAAACAGTTTGCTTTTTCAACATGCCTGTGTTTATCCTAAAATATTTCCAAACTATGGAAATTTTTTTTGTTTTGTTTGATAAAAATGACCACTAGTCATAATTTTTTTTCATTGAAATTGTGTGAACAATTTAGCTGTTACACTTTCTCAGCTGTACACGATAAACATACAATTAAGCATCCTTACACTAATGTATTTTGTGCAGTATATTAACCGGACAAAGCCGTGTGTTTTTGACCAAATGTAATCATTTACCACCTGGAGGCAGGTAATAATGTTTATGTGGGGTTTTGTCTGTTTGTCTGTCATGTTTGGATAGCTCATGAACCACTGGACAGATTTTAATGGAACTCGCAGAAAGAAATTATTAGATAGACATCTACAACTAATTAACTTTTCAAGTCAACCCAATTCAAGATGGCCACTACAGCTGATGGCCATAAACAAACACAAAAATGATTATAACTTGGTAAACAAAGTAACATAGAAAACAGCTAGGTTGTAGGGTGGTGTAGAAAAACAAGAACATGTCTGCATTGGTATTTTTGATGATTGATGTGAGTAGTAGAGTTTTCATCTTCATTGCTTATTCCTGCTACACATTGGGTACATCTTGGCTGACAACTTTGGCTTTGACTGTTCGAGCCAACCCTGTTTGTTAGCAAACCTCTAACTGCCCTCTGGGCACATTTTAAAGAAATTCGGAGAGTAATCATTGGGTGTGCATCAACAACTGATTAACCTTTGGAGTCTACCCAATTAAAGATGGTCACCCCAGAGCATTTAACTTCGAAAACACAAAAGGGACTATAGCTCAGTCAGTTTTCTAACCATTGAGATAAATATTGGAGTCACTGTAACAAAGTTACTGCCAACACATACTCCAAGGGGCGCTAATAGATCGTAATCTTGCTATATCACACAAAATTGTACATAATGCACAGTTGGAGAGAGGAAAGCTCTGCAGAGGGTGGTGAAGGCTACACAGAAGACTGTCGGAGTCAGCCTCTCCACCATCACAGACATCTAGACCTCCAGATGCAGGAAGAGGGCCAGCTGCATCATGAAGGACCCCACTCACCCAACACACACTTTTTGCCCCGCTCCCCTCAGGAAGGAGGTTAAGGAGCATTAAGTATAGAACCACTAGACTGAGGAACAGCTTCTACCCTGAAGCTGTTAGACTCATGGATCTCTAACCAGAAAAATCACTGTAATGACTCTTCAGTTGGAGATTTGACACTTTACCAATCTTATCGTATCTTGTCTTTAATTGTGCTGCTGATTATCCATGCAGCTGATTTCTTACCCATAAGCTGCTGAATTCATACCCATCTGCTCATAACAGACTCATGTTCAGGCTGCTGTTTAATACACTGTATTATATTATATTATTATTGTTTACTATGTATCTTAGATCCTTGTATACTGGGTTTTTTTGTACTTTATATTTTTGCTATTTTAGGTGTAAATGGGACCTTGTGTACACAATTCCGTTCCACCTCATGTACCACATGTGATGCGAATGGCCATTGCTCTGTCATTTCTCAACACAAGATAATTTTAGTTTAAAAAGTTTGGCATAAAAGATGGCATGGCCTTTGATTTTGCTACGTGCTTGATTTTAATACATAGTCACATTTTTATGCTTTTTGAAAGACTAAAATAGATTTTAGTATTTATCAACTAATTGCAGGGAACATTGTTGGGCAATGTATTGTTCCCATTAATGTTAGAATAAAGTAACTGATACAACACAGAAACATAAAAAATAAAAAAAAAGTCAAGCAGATGAACCACAGTTTAAGTAAAATCAGCCCATTGTTGAAAATATCCGTTTTGATGAAACCTCATGCTGTAACTAAAAACGTTACTGCCACTGACCCTTCTCTTTACGCTCTGCTTCCAGGGCCCGACCAACTACACCTGTGTGTGGTGAGCTCCAGGTTAAGGTGCTTCAATGTTACAAAGAAAACCCTCAGCAGACCCTGCACTGTTCCAGCCTGGCCAGACAGTACATGACCTGTGTTCAGCTAGCAAAGAAGGTAAGGCTGCAGTCTCTGCGTGGGTGTGAAAATATAAGAACAGACGTGAATTAGTCAAATCTTTTTTTTTTTTAATTCTTACTGATTTTGACAGTAAAACAAAACAGGAAAAAGAAAAAAACAACCCTTTGAGTTCTTAAAGGAAATAAATGAAGAAAATCATAATTTGCTTACACAGACGCCTCATCAGACAATAAATTAACAACACTTTCTGATAGGAGGCTGTCACACATAACCTTAAAATGCTTTCTACTCTGCTGATGCTTTAGTAAATAGTTTTCCAACCTGACATTTCTTTACAAAGGTGCTTACAATATTTACCTTATTTCTGAACTAATTAATACATTTAAACTGTGCACTATTAATGTAGCAATATTCACTGATGTGACTTCAAAATGGTAAAAAGATCAAAACAACAAATAAAGAATTTAGCATTTCCATATAAAAGCAAATGTTTTTTTAAGTGTGTCTTTATATTGT